TGTTCCAGAGCTTTTTCTTCCCTCTGTTAAAAGACATTGGGATGCAGGGTTTCATTGTTACATGACCGAGAGGCACTGGGGATCTGCTGTCTGTAGCTCATGCATACTTCTTCCATTACATGTGACTTGTTTTCTAATGTTTCTAAAGTTTCAAATGAAAAGTAGACCAAGTACCTCTTGTATCTGTAAGCGTCCATCTGCAGTCACATCATATGCTGACATAAACCTTTCTTTCACCTTTTGGATTTTTTCTTTTGTCATGGTGCTCTGCAACACACACAAAAAAACCCAGACTGACCTTCCTGCTATGGATGAAACCAATTTCCTGAGTATTATCCATTGTATCCAGTCTCTTTCTGTTCAGTCATGCAAGATCTGAAGAAGGAGGTGTTCCTTGAAAGATGGGAGGGAACGTATAACAAGAGCTATTTGGTTTTTGTCCCCCTCTCCTTTTAAAAACCGCAATACATCTCATACCCTCCTTTGAAGTCTCTTGTGGGATTGGTAGAGGAACACAGGCAGACACATAGGGAGAGAGAGAGGTCAAAAGACAGAGAAGTCCTAATCAGCAAACTATAACAATTTCACCAACCCAGGAGCATAAGCCCCTTCCATCTGTTTCTGAACATTCCACCGCCTCAGATAAAAGGAAAGTAATGGAAACATGCACTGAAAGTTTATCTGGATCATTTTTAACATATGCAACTTCATGTACATTTAAACCTTGAAATTATTCCTTTCTAGAAGGATTGAAAATGATCCAAATGCTTGGCCTTCCTCGTCACCTGAATTATATTTTCCATAGTTCTCTGAGGAAAATTTAGCACCTTGAAAGTTGAATGTCTTGGTTTACTCCACAAACTTTGGAGCAGGGACTACCAACACCTTTATTTTAAGTACCATAGTGACAACATTAATGGCCTGGGAAATGATTCACATGCTTGGCCTTCCTCGTCACCTGAATTATATTTTCCATAGTTCTCTGAGGAAAATTTAGCACCTTGAAAGTTGAATGTCTTGGTTTACTCCACAAGTTTTGTTTTTGTTTTTGTTTTTGTTTTTTTTTGCTTTGGAGCAGGGACTATCAACACCTTTATTTTAAGTACCATAGTGACAACATTAATGGCCTGGGAAATGATTCACATGCTATTTGATATGTTAAAGTGTGCCTTTTGAGGACTCCCCCTCCCCATTTTTATGTGTCTTTAAAATTAATTGAAAAGCAACACTTTATTAAGGCAACACTAAAGAGCAACATAATGCATTACCTTTAAACAACAACAAAAAGCATAACAACAACTGCTTTTACTTAAAGCAGTGATAATCTTAATATATCAGCCAAAATCCAAAGAAACAAAACAAAACAAAACAATAAAGACAAAAACATGTGGCATCTTAAAGTCTAAGTATTATATTTTAAAGAGAGCTTTTGTGGACAACTCGACTTTGTTGGACATATAGAAAAAAATGAAATGCTGGATGGCATCCATCATGTCATTTTTTTTCTATTTGCCTGATGAAGTGGACTTCTCCATGAAAATCCACATTAAAATGTAATAGTCTTTAAGATGCCACATTTTTGTCTTTCTTGTTTTGTTTTGTTTTATTTTGTTTCTTTGGATTTTGCCTGATATACTGAATAGGAGAACCTGGCATCATGGATTACCAAGAGAACACATGGATTACAAAGGGAATTTTCATTATCTCTCTTTTTAAGCAAGAACAGTCGAGTAACAGGAGACCCTTGACTGCGATACTATCAAATTCAGAGCCACCTACGACTAAAGTGCATGTGGACACTATCCAAGCACACGGGGAAGCAACATCTCCATAGCATATAAAGGGCTTTGGAACAAAGTGCACAAGACATTAAAATGCTCTTTAAAATCTCTAGAGAGTAAACTGAGCTCTTGGAAAGGTTTTAGAGACTGAAACACAGAAGAGAGCTCTAAGCAACGGCTGCAAAAAAAGGAGAGAGACACAGAAAATCAAGGAAGATCCCCCTGCCGCATGTTGTGGCAGACTGCATCAGCCTAGAGCAGGAAAAGATTGGTCCCATGAAAAATTAAACCCACTTGCTTCTATATGTGAAACAAATGGGGAACTCTGCCTGAAGTAGTTCCCAGAGAAATAACCATTTTAGCCTTGTGTAAGAAAAAAAAGCTTTGTGTCAACTCAACGGCAAAATATATTTACTATGGCCTAAACTTTCATGGATTTGAGCACATTTTAACAGATACATGAAGTGTAATCTTCAGTTGATAAGTACAGAAACATATAAGTGGAACATATAAATGTCCAATATAGAATCTGGAGTTACATGGCAGTGAAATGCAAAAAGGACCATCTGGACTAGTTATGTGTGTGTGTATTTCTGCTAGCCAAGTATTATTCCTACTACAGTGAATTCTAGATAATGAGAACTGATGTCAGAACAACTTTGCTAATCTTCAAAATGCCACAGTATTGCCTGCCAGAAACCATGTAAATATTTCCGTATATATAGTGCAGCCAGGGGATCACAACTGTATTTTCCTTGCATTATGGTGTTCCATGTGTTACATAAAAGGTGTCTTGTATAAGCATAGCATACTCATTCCCCTAGAAACCTAGGTAGCCAAAATAGTGTCGCTCCCTCTTAAGAGGGAGATATCAGCAGGCCTGCAACAAATCTCAAGGTTAATAGAACCATTACAAAAAAATATTTAGGTAGGAAACTTTAAGGGGGAAACCTGCTGAAAACAGCAGAAGAAGGATTTTATTTATTATTTATTGTATTTGTTTTATTTATAGGTCACATTTCTCCCAATAAAAGGACCCAAGGTGGCTCACAATATTAAAAAGAATAAACTATATGCTAATTAATGTACAAATGAATAATCAAAAGCAAGAAAACATTAAAAATGAACTTAACTTTAAAAAGTCATCCAGGAATTCAATCATGATTGTTAAAAGCCTGTGTTGTAGAGACAGGCCCTCAGCTGTTGGTGGAAGGATAAAAGGGAAGGGGCCAGCCTAGTGTTCCAAGGGAGAGCTGTTCCACTGTCTGGGAACTGCCACAGAGAAGGCCCTCTCACATGCCTCTATCAGCCATGCCTGCGCTCGCAATGGGACTGATGGGAGGGCCTCCTTTGATGACCTTAAATGCCAGGAAGACTCATATAGAGAGATACAGTCCTTCAGGTAGCCTGGACCCGGGCTTTACAGTGGACCCTCTACTTACGGAATTAATCCGTATTGGAACGGTGGCTACAGGTTGAAAAGTCTGTAGGTTGAGTCTCCATTGACCTACAATGTATTGAAAACCGATTAATCCGTAACCGGACGTTTTTGTTCCATTTTTGTTCCATTTTGGCTTTTTTCTGGTCTGTAAGTCGATTCTCCGGCTGCAAGTCGAATCTAATTTTTGCAGCCAGAGAAGTCTGTAACTCGAAAAGTCTGTAAGTCGAGCCATCTGTAAGTCGAGGGTCCACTGTATAGGTATTGACCAGCACTTTGAATTGGGCCTGGACACGGACTGGTACACAATTCAGTTGTTGTCGCAGGAGCTTGATGTGCCACCTTTAACTGGGCCTAGTCAGTAGTTTGGCTGCTGCATTTTGAACCAGCTGAAGTTTCTGAATGGTCTTCAAAGGCAGCCCCACATAGAGTGCATTACAGTAATCTAAACAGGATGCAACTAAGGCATGTGTCACTGTAGGCAAATCAGGCATCTCAAGGAATAGGCACAGCTGGCACGGATTGAGAAGACCCTTGAATGGGTGGAGTGGGGGATATAGAAGACCAGAGAAGGAGAATCGAATGAAATAGAATGCCTTAAAAGAAAAATGTCAGATGTAGCTCCTAAGTGTATATTCCCAGAAGTTGCAAAGAGCTTTACAGCAACTACATGCAAGAGCTGCACGGCACAGTAGACAGCTGGGTTAAACTCTCCACTCAGCCATGAAAAGTCACGGGGGAAAGCAGGGTTGGTGAAACTGATAAAAAACACTATTTAAATATCACTTACCTTGAAAGCTCTATTAGTGTCACTATAAATTGGTTTCAGCGTGACAGCAAATAATGCACAGAGTAAAAGCTCAGCTACACAAGGGCAGTTGCTAGCACTCAATGGTTCATGTGCAGCTACAGTAATCTTGTTTGCAATTGCTCACTTATGCAGTTTAATCAGGAATTACCAGAGCTCAGAAAAATTACCTTTTTTCAACTAAAGTTCCAAGAATTCTCCAACCAGTGCATCTGGGATTCATAGCCGCTAGGGTATTGGTGGTGTATAGAAAAAAAAATAGCTTTTCTGAGTTCTGGGTAAGATATGTAATAACAAGATTTTAGCTTTAACGAAAGTGGTTATCTTCCAGTGTCTAGCTGGGGCTTAATTTCCATGGCTGCTCTCTGTCCACACAACATGATCCCCTCTCTAGCAGTTTGTGGATTGATAAGATGTCCTAATAGCAGCAGGCAGTTCAGAGTTAAGGTTGTGAAAACAAAATAATCTGGTTCCAAAATGTTGTTATGACCTTGAAAGCCACTCAGAAAAGTATGAAAAGTAATGGGTGCATTTTGGTCTATGCTCTAAAAGTTCTATGATTGCGAAGTTAATTAATAACCACAGTGCCTCCAGAATATTCTTATTGTATTTGAAAGCTACAGTGTGCTTTATGTTCATTGAAGTAATAATTAAAATAAGCTGGCACACAACTGAATGGTATAGATTCTTTTTTGAAAACACACACATAAGGCCTAGGCTGATTTCCACAGCATATTGTTAAAATTACCATGTATGATTATAGTCTACAGTTTTTAACTTGAGACTGCATGAGCTTAAAATCAGTGTAAGTACTGGGCTAAAGATAGTAATATAGAAGTCATAGAGAACAGAAGAGTACATATTCAGCCAAGCCTTCTTCCTTTTAGTCATCTTGGCATTTTAAATGCAAGGCTCTCAAAGATACATGTCTTAATCCACTCCTATGTGTAAGGGGGGGGGAATGGAAGAATTTATGACTAAGGCATCTGTATAGTGTACTTGTTTATACGAGGATCTATGGTCTGGCATTTTAGTGGGAAGTAAACAAAGACAAATGTTAAATGATTCCTCTGGTATGTATGACATTAGATTGATAACATTACTAGCAATGGCTAGAAATCTGTTGAAGTAAAACAGGAGGGATAAGACCAATCAGGCAAGTGGTTTTCCCTTCTGGCTTCCTATCTATCACATGGCTGGTGTCCAACCAGATGCCCAATTGCTGATGTGGCCAGTGGTTGCAGGGTGTGTGACAGAGGAAAAGCTGAAGAGATAGAATCACTTGCATGATTAGGCTTGTGCAGTTGTGCAAGGCAACAGGATTCTGGCCATTGAGAACAACATCACTGGCAAAAACCATAAACCCTACCTTAGAGCATCAATATTATGCAGGCATATTTCATCTTGTTCAGAGCTTCTGATGCTTGCAAGCACTTAATGACCAACTATTACTGATTTGCAGTTATACACTCCCTTATTCTAGGATTGCAAGAAGTTGTCTTACACACTCGGTCTTGCTGTCCCTTTTTATTGTCAGGGGTGCATAGACCATTGCTTTCAATTGTCCTGTATCCCTTGACTTTTAATTCTGCATGTCCTGCCCTGCTCCCCCTAGCAATCCAGCTGATTGGGTGCACTGGGAAGAATAGGCTGCTGCTGTAAGCCACTCCATGCTGAAGTGATTATTTCTCAGTTGCCCTCCCTGTGAGTTAGCATATGCTGAAGACAAGGTGCTACACATCCATTTCCGCTGATGAATATCAGTACCCATGCTTATCAGGATGATCCAATTACCTGAGAACCTCCCCCCACTGCCCAAGTGAGGACCTCATCCCAAAGGAGGGCAGTTGTACATATACATTTCATTCTGCCTCACTGTTTAGTCTCTTCTTGATTTTTAAATTAATTTTTAAGAACACTCGCCATAGCACAGAGTTTCAAGTAGCTTTCTCCAATCTACTGTGATGTGTCAGACTACAACATCCATAACTCCGAATGGATTCTATTCCTAACCTCTGTGTTCTTCAAATCATGCCATTGTAAGAGCCTGCAGTACAGGAGCACTGCAGAAGTGCCGAGCAACAAATGCAACTGGCCTGCCAAACAGGCATCAGAAAGAGAACAAGATTTGCCAGGATAATGTGAGAGGCAGGGTAGCACTTAGAAGAAGCCTCTGTGTAGGGTTCTTAATCCCTCCCTGCACCACCTGTTTCTTTTTTGCAAAGGTGTTTTTATAAAGTAAAGCTACCAAGATGAATTTGGCCCAACTCCGGGAGGCAGTGGAAGACAGGAGGGCCTGGCGTGCTCTGGTCCATGGGGTCACAAACAGTCAGACACGACTAAAGGACTAAACAACAACAAAGCAAAAGCAGTTTTTCCTCCAGGCAAGCTTATTTCTTTCTTTGAAGCCTGATGACAGCAAGGGTGGGGTGGGGATGGGATTGGATTTAGAATTACTCCCAAATTGGTGCCCTGAAGCCCATGGGTTTGAGAGGCTTGTGTTTTCATGGGAAGCATTTGGTGGAAAACTGGACCTCCAAAAAAGTTGGAGATGGGTGTGATGTCTTGTTGAGTTAAATGTGTTGATTTAGCTAAATACAGTATGATAGAATACATAAGGATAGTAAGTATGTGAGGGGAGGGGTTGAGTGTAGAGTGTAGGATGTTGGTGGGATCAGGAAGGATTGGCTGGGAGAGAAGAAAGGACAGGGAAAAGAGAAGGTCAGAGAGGACTGAATGGAAAAGGGTGAGAACTCTCTTCCCTCTCACGCAGTGCCAGAAACCAGGGGACATCCAGTCCAACTGAGTGCTGGGAGAGTGAGAACGGACTAAAGAAAATATTTCTTTACCCAGCATGTGGTTAGTCTGTGGAACTCCCTGCCACAGGGTGTGGTGATGCCTTTAAAAGAGGCCTGGAGAGATTCCTGGAGGAAAAGTCCATCGCAGGTTGCAAGCCATGATGGCGATGTATAATCTCCAGGCTTAAAAGGAAGGTACCTCAAATGCCAGGTATCAGGAGACAGGTATCTAGTTGTCTCATGTGCTCCCAGAGGCATCTGGTGGGGCCAATGTGAGATACAGGAAGCTGGACTAAACGGGCCCTTGGCCTGATCCAGCAGGGCTCATGTTCTTATGAGATGGATAGCAATTAGATTAAGTTTAGGAATAAAACTATATTTTACTGAAACTGTTTCTGTAGTAAAAATCACTTGATCTGGTTCAAGCCAAATGGCGTCATGGGCTGATTGCCTGAGAATTGCCTATGTGGTGGGAGGGGGAAATGCCAGAGTGAGAGAAGCAAGAGAGAACACATGGGAGCAACAGTTGGTGGCAGTGACTGCTGAAGATGGTAAAAGAAAATTTAAAAAAGTCTTAGAGTATTCCTGTGAGTTGCGGACAAACGCAGGTCTAACCATTCAACCAGAGAGGTAAAGAGAGAGAGGTGGGATATACGGTGAATTCAGAATATAACAGTGGGCTCTGGCAAAATCAGTTAAGTGTGACAGAACGTATTCCCTCCTTCTGGAGAGACCATACCCTATAAAACTGTACAGTATTTGTTTCTTCCAGAATCTCAGCTTACACAAATGGAAGCCTGCTGTGTTGTTTTGTGTTTGGATGATGGAGAGCAACCAGGCAAGGGTTGTTCTTTGTATTCACATTTCCATTTCTTTCCCCCTTTTCCAGCAAAGCAACTGGGAGAAAAATTGATTTTCTTAAGAGTAGTATATTGTTGCAACACCCACTTGTTGCAGTAATACAAATTATTTCAGAGTGTTTTGGTTTGGGGTGAGCAATTAGGGGTTATTGACATACTTGTTGATATCTAGCTGTCTATATTTTTTTGCTGTTCTTGATGTGAAGGTTGGTAACAATGAGGACTGGCATTATGGAGAATATTATTACTAAAATAAGTACTATAATGGGAGAAGCCTATAGATGTATACCTATTATGCATATTTTTACAAAAGCACTCTTTGTTACAAGGCTGCCAAAAATGAAACTTAAGGCAAAAAGGGGTATATAATGCAGCTTGCATTGTTTGTCATACATAGTTTGAACCCACTGACACCCATTGACAATCTAGAGCTTCCCCAGATATTTTGGATAACAAGTCCCACTGTCCCCAGCAAGCATAGTTTTCATTATGAATGTTTAATGCCAGTGTAAGGAGAGTACCAACTTATGTATCTATGTACTCATCAGTTATAATGTGTATGCAAAGGCACACGTCTGGAATTCAGGAGGAGTTTCTATACGTTCAGGAGGCTTCTCTTCATTTAACAAACTGTCCCTCTTTTGTGAGTAAATGAAAATATGGTGTTGACATATGTTAAAGTGTTGTCAGTTCAATGACTGCACAAAGAAGTTGAGAATAGTCTTCTAGCACCAATTGATAGGTTTGGTTTTTAAATGGTAGCTGCAAATAGTTGGAGAAAAGGTGAAGGAAGCATCTCACAGCTGCTCCTTCTTCCATTTTGAAGAGTAGGCAATAAAATAAAATAAAATAACATAGCAACGTGTGAGCTGAAATGAAACACATGACACCATGCAAACAGTTGACCATGCCCTTGACTCTAAAGTTACAGCTGTATGTCAACAGATTTATTTTCCTAAGCAAGTATCAATTAACTCTGGAGAAAGCCCAGTGTTAATTGATTTTGGAAACTAGGATATTCCATTTGCAAAACCAATCAGCCCTGTTTTGAACAATGATCCAAACCCACCTGCTGCTCTCACTCCCCTCATTCAGACTAATGTATATGTAAACTACTTGGTCTATCTTCATTAATCTCACTGAACAGGATGGGTTACACCCTCTGCTCCATCTGCCAAAAGAAAAGCGCTTGCTTTATGTGAGAGTTATGAACACGGAGCGGGTGACAAAAGCACGACTTGAAGCACAAACTGCAGTAATGAAGTGGATGCACCTGTTGTGTGACGAACCTGAGTGCACCGTTTGCTGCCAGTGAAAAGCAGGATCCCTTAAGAATCCTTAAGGAAAGAAATAACTAGGGGAACACACTCCTCAGAATCTCAAGGAGCATGTACTGAACAGGCCGGGCTACGTGCAGGGATCTATTTAAAAACAACACCCATCAATTGATTTTTGACAGAGAAGTAGTGGGAAGACTAGGAGCTAATCCAGGCACCCACCTCCTGTTCCTAGTCTCAGGTCTAGCTAGAGTAGAACCCTGGGTCACTTTTCCAGTGGTGAGCCAACAATTAACATAAACCCCAAGGATTCATTCAGTGAATCTGTTCTAGTTGGAACTAGCAATTGGATTCAGGCCCAAAGCATTAAGTGGGCAGCTTCATACCTTTCAAACATTGCTCTGTACATACAACTCCAGCTCCTGGACTGATTGAAAGACACATATGTTCAGCACTCATTTGCCCACCAGGTCCCAGTATCTCAGCAAAGAATACAGTATGGGTACAGAAGGCTTCCACATATGTTCATGTTTATCCTCCCATGCAGAGGACACTAGACAGTACTTACTTCACAGCCCATGGTCCTTAGCAGGTGATGGAAGAAGTTGTCAAGCTCCTTCCCTTCTATGTAACCATTGTCTAAAATCAATAAAAAATAAATGTTATTTATGGTCTTAGAGGCTTGATTTTAGAGCTTAAACCTTAGACTCGACATAGAACACAAATATTTTTAAACACCTATTGACATCTTCTTTATTCATAAATTTAACCAAAGTGGCACACCCAAAGACTATGTCTTTTTTGTTTTGTTTTGCATTCAAGTCTGAATTTTTACCAGGAGCTAAAATGACTAAACCGAGGTTATTGCACTTTTGGACGTATCATGAGAAGGCAAGACTTGCTGGAAAGACCAATAATGCTGGAAGAAGTGAAAGGCAGCAGGAAAGGAGGAAAACTGAATATGAGAAGGGATGACTCAGTAAAGCAACCCACGGTCTTTAGTTTTCAACAGCTGAACAAGCCTGTTAATCACAGGACCTTCCGTAGATCACTAGCCCATAAGTTAAGTTAGAACTATAAGTTAAAAGTGAGTGGGAGCTGCATAACAATGATTTTAAAATATGCTATTAATTTGTCTTTTGAAATATTTATCTTTCTCTGAAAAATAAGAGCTAGGAACTTTCAGCAAAATTGACCACAAGATTCTTTTTGACATCCATACAGAGATACCTATGTCAAGAATGGTATTCACACAAACAAGGGAAAACATGAACACAATAGATAACATATCTATATGCCTGATTAGGCCAGCAACTGTGGAGAGATTTTAGCTACACGGAGCTCTGAAGAAAATGAAAGGGGAGCAAAGGATTTAATGAACAAGAAAATACTCTGATCATAGAATTGTATTGAAAAATATTCCAAATTACAACAAACAGGTCTGGCTTAAATAGGAAGGGGTGACGAGCAGTTATTTGCTTGCAGTTAATACATTCAGATCCTTTATGATAAATTATTTTAGAGTAATATATGATTAAGATAATATTAGGGCGAAGCTCCTTGGAGCAAACACTTTCCTTTTCTACTTCTATTTCCTTCTAAAGAACCACACACACTGATACCATAATATAATAAGTATGTAGTCTTAGTGAGTGGGTCACAATTACAATTAATATCCTGAGGACTAGCATTGGCATTGACACATTAATAGCATAAAATCAGACAATTATTAACTTAGTTGCTTCAGTGAGACAACCCTCCTGAGGTTGGCGTCTTCGGCTGAACAAGATGCACCCGACCGCAGGTCACACTAAGATCAGAAATATCATAATACTGTATTTGTAAGACTCTAAGCTTGTGTGTAGATAGATGGTAAAACAAACAAACAAGCAAACAAAACTAGACGTCAGAAAACGGGTGCCCTTGTGGACTCAGGTAGGATGAACAATCCCAGGGTGCTGTTAGAAGGAGGAGCTGCTAAACCACTTCTGAATACTCTCTAGCTAGAAAACCCTGAAAAGGGTCAGAATTGACTTGACCGCCCTCACTTATTCTTATTAGACAGATATAGCACACCAGACGTGCCCCTTACCAACGCCTCCGATTACCGTTCGACGCTCGCCATTCCCCCCTTCCCGCCCTGGCCATTATTTCCCCCACACACATACACACACAAATCGTCCCCTGAGCCCCCTTGCTGGCTTCTAGGCACCTCCACCCGGGCGCTCACCGTCGGCGTCGAAGCGCTGCCACAGGCGCAGGAAGGCGGCCGCGTCAAGGCAGGGCAGAGTGTCGCCGTCCATGGTGCTGGCCGGCCGGGCGAGGGCTAGGGCGAGGCGAGGCGAGGCGCTACCGCCGCGGGCGAAGTTCAGGTCGCCGGGCTGGGCGAGGCTGCTCCGCTTGCCTGCCGCTGCCCCTCGAGCGCCCCGCGAGGAGGAGGAGGAGGAGGAAGAAGCGGAGGGGGCGGAGGAGGACTTTTCAGAGGGCAGCAGCCCCGCCGGAGACACGCCCCGCGCTGCTGCCAGGCTTACCCACCTGCCGCCTGGCGGGAAAGTTAGGGCCAGGCGGGAACCGAGGCAAGGTGCGGGTGCGGGGGAGGCGCGTGACTACTGCCGCCGCCGCCGCCCTGTCAGAAGTTTCTTTCCGCGCTTCTCGGCAGCAGAGGGCTCGGCGCTGGGCTTTGGGCGCCCGCCCTTCCCGCCTCCGCCCAGCCTCGGGCGCCGGCTTCCCTTTGCCCGTCTTGACACGAGAAATGGCCAGAGGAGCAGGGAACCTATGGGAGGATGGGATGGCCGGGCGGGCCGGCTGAAGGCAGGAGCGGGGCCACAGGTGGGCGGAGGGGAACCCCCGGAGCTCGGCAGTGGCCACCGCAACTGGAAGGGACGTGAACGGTGGTTTCCTTCGAGAATACAAAAAAAAAAAAAGGCTGCTCTGATCGGAGCGTGAAATGTGATCAGGTCACAGAGTTAATTCGGAACCTCATTGGTGGCAGAAGAATTAGTCAATTAAGTGATTACTATTTCTCTCTCTCTCTTTTTTTTTCTCATTCAGTCATGCCATCTTGGTAATGTGTTGTTTGGAATTAATTGTTACAATTGTATTTTTTGTTAATGATTTTATACATGTTATATTGCTGTGTAAACCACCCGAGTAGACATTGTCTAGAGGGGCAGGGTAAAAAAAATCAATCAATCAAACAATCAAACAATCAAACAATCAATCAATCAAACAAACAATCAAACAAACAAACAAACAAACAAACAAATAAACAAATAAATAAATAAAGGTCGCTTTGGGCCCAGCCTTCTCTTCTTCTTCTTCTTCTTCTTCTTCTTCTTCTTCTTCTTCTTCTTCTTCTTCTTCTTCTTCTTCTTCATTATTATCAAAGGTAGAGTTGCGAATCTTTCTAGAATGTTGGGGGGAGGGGCAGGGGCCTGCTGAGAGTCAGGAAGCGATCACCGGTACAAGCACTTCAACTCTACAAAGCGGAGGGGGGGAGACCACCTCACTAAAAATGGTCAGAATGAGGCAGGCACTTTCACCCTGCTGTCTATCTATCCTACTGGCGCTGAGCTGGAAACCAACCTTGAAACACAACCCAAAATGTGTGGGGAAAAAAACTGAGCGATGGCTCTTTGGAATCTAAACCAAAAGTGGGGAAACCTCTGATGTTCAATTCCAAGAAGTGCTGGGCAGAAGGGGAAAATGGCAAAGGTTTAAGGGAGTGGGAATCCAAAACATCTAGAGGGCCGAAGGTTCTTCAACCTCAATCTAAACTTTAGAATGAAAGCCTTTTTCAATAATAATAAACAACAGCAGCAACAACATCAAGAAATATTATACAGTGTTATAAGCAGTTACAGATTTCAGAAATAACACCACCAAAGCTACAAAAACAGCAATATTAGGAACAGCATATATACTGCACTGATATTTAACAGATAAAGTACTTAGATTTTTGGTTAAAACTTGTATCTGTTATACAATGCCTGTCAATGTTTATATAATTTTGATGGACTCTGGCTGGTGTTTTTTAACAACAACAACAACAACAACAACAACAACAACAACAACAACAACAACAACATTTTTATTTTTAGAAAAATCGTCTCTTTGCATAAAAGTACATGAAATGATGAGTGGGAGGATTCTTGAAGCCCTAGAATTAAAGGCAAAATAAATATTAAGTTGTATAGTTCCTCACGTACCTATGCTACAATGAATTAGGTGTGAGATATTTTTAATCATGACCTTTTCTTTTATGAAGACTTCATACTCCCAATACAGGGACTAACATCAGAGAATGATAATGCCATCTTATCCTATTTTCACAACCCCCCGAGACACTGGCAAAGCAACTAATTTTTCCTAGCCACTGGCAGCAGTTTGAATGCTAAGGAAGGCGGACTTTTGGTTTTTAAATGATAGCAAATCCTTTTTTCATTCTTTGATGGCCACTGATTTGGCTGTGCATACAATTCTGCTGCTGCATGCTGCTTCTTAATGATGAGATGAAGAAACTGAAAAAGGAAAGATAGTGAATTGCCATTTTGTTATCTCTTTGTTTAATTTTTGGATCCTGGAACATCTTGGCAGTTCTAAGGTTCCCAGTAATATTTCCAAGTTAAAAGGCACTGTAGGATGTATCTCAGGAAAATGTTCTGAACAAAACGATACGTGATGCAGACTGACCTCAGACCTTTTAACTCCGATGCAAAAGACAAGGTGATTTCCTTTATTTTGTGTACGGGAACAAGCCAGATTTAATTCTCCAATTTTATGTCAGCAGTGATGATGAAGCAGGACCGTTCACCACACCTGAATGTACTAGGGTTACTTCAGTGTGTGTGTGGGGAGGACATGGCAGCTGTTAGCTTTAGTTCCATTTTGCCATATCAAACAATCAGCGTGATGTGGCAACTTCTGAATGTTGACACAAAACCAACATTGGATATTATGGCCAGAGGTGATTTTGAATAGTATGGCTGCTGAGCCAACATGGTGACAGCCATTTTTATATAAGGAGGAACAATACTAATGCATCTTTCTGTTATCTATTTCTTTTAAATCACAAAAAGCTTTTAATCAAAGGCTTAAAGATAATGGGAAGATGGGGCAAGAGCTGAGACAGCAGTATAAATGATTTCTAAATGAAACCCTAGAAAAACAAAAGAACATATACAGAATGGTCCTTGTTTGTCCAGCTGCTGGTTAAATTGCTCTTTACAGGATGTGTTTCTGAGCTTGATTTTCAATCGTAATGCCACTTTTACTATATTTGCTTTGTCTTCACTGAGCATGGAGAATACATTTTACAGATATGTGCACACCAGTTCATTTCTATGTGATTAGAAGCTACTAATGGACTTGAGTGTACAAAGGATTATAGTTTATGGTGCCACAAGACTATTATTTCTGCTGCAGATTTATGTAGTTATTGCTCCCTGGAAATTCATTTGTTGTTTAGTCATTAACCAGAGCATGCCAGGCCCTCCTGTCTTCCACTGCCTCCTTGAGTTTGGTCAAATTCATGTTGGTAGCTTCAATGACACTGTCCAACCATCTCATCCTCTGTCGTCCCCTTCTCTTGCCTTCACACTTTCCCAACATCAGGGGCTTTTCCAGGTAGTCTTCTCATGAGATGGCCAAAGTATTGAAGCCTCAGATGCAGGATCTGTCCCTCCAGTGAGCACTCAGGCTTGATTTCCTTCAGAATGGATAGGTTTGATCTTGCATTCCAGGGAACTCTCAAGAGTCTCCTCCAGGACCACAATTCAAAAGCATCAATTCTTCGGTGGTCAGCCTTCTTTATGGTCCAGCTCTCCCTTCCATACATCACTACTGAAAAAACCATAGCTTTGACTACATGGACCTTTGTCAGCAAGGGGATGTCTCTGCTTTTTAAGATTCTGTCTAGGTTTGTCATTGCTTTCCTCCCAAAAAGCAGGGTTTTTTTAATTTTGCGGCTGCTGTCTCCATCTGCAGTGATCATGGAGCCCAAGAAAGTAAAATCTGCCACTGCCTCCATATCTTCCCCTTCTGTTTGGGACCAGTGGCCATGATCTTAGATTTTTTTTATGTTGAGCTTCAGACCACTTTTGAGCTCTCTTCTTTCACCCTCATTAAGATGCTCTTTAAATCCTCCTTACTTTCTGCCATCTGGAAATTCATACCTAATTCCAACTCTTATATGGATCAGTTGTTTAATTCTGGTTTTCTTACCATAAAAATTAGTACTATAAAACAGGGCCTGCTCTTAATAGGTGTGTGCAAGTATAGTCTCACATTCATGTAGACCAGTGGTTCCCAACCTTGGGTCCCAAGATGTTCTTGTACTCAAACTCTCAGAAGCCTTAACCACCAGCTGTGCTGGCCAGGATTTCAGGGAGTTGGAGCCCAAGAACATCTGGAGACCCAAGACTGAGAACCACTGTTGTAGATCAACATTTTGTTGTGGGAACCCCCTTAATCGCAGCCACTATCCCAATTTCTTTGTGCTTCTTCTTCAGAACTCTCTCTCCTTTTGTAAAACTTTAAAATATGAATGGGGCATATGAATATACCCTCTCTTAACTCAGGACACCATCATAATTTATTCCAAAGAACAGTGAAAAGTGACGTTTGATGAATGGGGAAGATAAAGTTATTAACATTTCAATACTTTTACAAAAATACAGTTCTCAAGTTTTTTGGGGGGGAAGGGAAGGAGATAGAAAAGTATTCATAAGATAAGTAAGATGATGCGATACAATTCTCAAGTTTTTTTGGGGGGGGGGAGGGAAGGAGATAGAAAAGTCTTCATAAGATAAGTAAGATGATGTACAGGCATGATGCAGAGGTGCCTGGAAATAGATCTGATCAGTCTTCAGTAGAACAGGTACTGTAGATACAAGCAGTGCTTAACAAAGTTACCTTTCTCGAGTACAATTCCCAGAATCCCCTAGCCAGCATGGCTAGTTCCAAAAATGTACAATTTCTGACCTCTGGAGCAAGGTTTCAGATCCTGGCAGAGGAGAACCACATAAAAGTATTTCTAAGTTTTACAGTCACAAGCATTGGCCCACACAGAGAAGACATTCCTTGAAGATACTTCAATAGGAGACCTAGATTATAATCCCACGTGCACATAAGAAAAAGAGCCATTGAACTCAAGAGAAATTTATTTATTGTACATCTACACTTTCATTAGCTTGAAGAATTGATAGTTTTGTGACATCAATTTACCTAAACAAAAACCCTCCAAGGGTCTTCAAGATATAAAGCACTCAGAAGTGATTTACCAGCCCATCTCCTAGTGGTGCTCCAGGATTGTACTGTTTGCCCAAAGCACACTGGTGGCATGGCATGTGACCAACAAGGTCCAGGTGATTTAAGCTGGCCCCTCTCCCAGAATCCTTCATGGATGTTTAAAGTCACTCTGCTTGGTTCTGTAACCAGGCAAAATCCATTGAGCTATACTAGCTGTCAATAAACTCAATAAGTCCATTGAGCTATACTAGCTGCATGCAGATATGCATAGGAATAGGCAATGAACAAAACCTCCATCAGGAATAAGAGGGTAACTTTAGAATAACTTGAGTGCTTCCATCTATGGAGATTACTTGGGTCATCTGGTGTCCATTTTATGCTGACCA